TACTCCTGCTATGAGTGAAACTATCCGGTATTTTTCTTTCTCTTTCTGGCTTATCTCACTAAGCATGATCTTTTCCAGTTCCATCCAAATTGCTGCAAAAGACATGTGTTTCTCTTTTTTGGTTGCTGAATAATATTTTTTTTTAATTCAATTCTAATCCATAAGACAGAATTTTTAAAACAAAACAGTGAGAATTGTAATAGGAAAAAATATGGCACACGGTCCTTTTTTATGAATAATGAATTAACTTAGGGTTTATTAAAATGTTCTGCTAGAATGTCTAGAAATTAGTGGTCTGCTACACTCCTTTTATAACAGGTTCAATTTAGGTTCTAATATCTATGTTACAAATTAATCATGTTTTTTATTAAACATAGTAATTTGTCCCAACTTATAGAGAATAAGTCTCTATAAGTATCATAGCTAAAAACCAAATAGAAAAAGAAGTATTTCTGGCACTCTTTACTAAGGAGAGAATGTAGTATCTGCATTGTTTTTAATTGTTTTAATTGTTTTTAAGTTTGCTTCAGAGTTAATTTAGACTAATTTCATTTGACAGTAGGATTTTATTAAACTCACTTGCTTCATATTAACTTCTGTTTACAGAATAATTAGTTCTACAGCATAAGTTAATGACATATACAGTGAAATTAAATTTAAATGAAGATTTTAGAATAATTTTAGGAATTAGGATGGTTAATAAGATGAAAAATACAATGTTGCTTAGATTCCACTTCCTACCTCGGTTGAAAAGGCACTGAATGTACAAGAATTCTTTACCTACATACCACCCTTAGAGAATAATTAAAGGCATTACCTGCTGTTCTACAGATAAGACTCAGGCTAGAGGTTGCCTTGTCTAGTGGCAAGGACAGGGGTTAAGAATGCAGGCATAGGCTTGAGTCTTAGCACTTTCATTATACAATGATAGGACTTTGAGCTACTTATTCACTTAATTTCTATGAAGTTTATTTTTCTTCTCTTAAAATAGCGGTCAGTATTTACAACTTAGATTTGTTTTGAGGGTGAAGTGAGGTATAATGCATAAACGTGGAAGAGACCTGGTGATCAGTAAATTTAGGAGTCTTCCACTTTTTTTGTCTTTGGGTTTGCTTTGGTATAGTTAATGCTTATAATGTGATCAATTTAGCCAGCTAATGAAAAACTTAAGACTAATAGCATGTTCTTTGAATTCAAGTTGAAATAGTTTGGTATTGTTTGCTTAAATTAAAATAGTTTTAGTAATTTTTCTCAGTTGATCACATAATAGGCGTTTAGTATGCATTTGTATGTGCTTCATCATTATAAGATATCCTAATAATAATGCCCATTTGTTTCTTTAGATGTAGAAGATCTTTATGAACCGGTGTCAGTCCCATTCTCATACCCCAATGGACTCAGTGAAAATACATCTGTTGTTGAAAAATTGAAACATATGGAAGCCAGGGCACTGTCTGCTGAAGCTGCATTAGCTAGAGCACGTGAGGATCTGCAAAGAATGAAGTAATTTTACCAATCTTACAGAGGAGCAATTGTTTAGGTCCCCAAAATAACATAAGTAATTACATGGTAGAAAGGATATACTAGAGAGTACAATGCAGATATTTAATTTTAGAATTTTAAAGATAATGAAACATTTTTCTATGTTGTGGATACAGTAACTTTTTTTGTTTCATTTTATCTGTGCTAATATACTTCTTTATGACTTACTTTTGCACTAATGGTTAATTCTGGTTAATATTTTCTTGGGCGCTTTTATTCTTTGCTATTTTCTTACTTTGAATTACTGTTTTATTTATTTCTAGGCATTTAAATTTAACATGCCTTAGGTTTGGGGGCAGTACAGGGCTAAAATTTTTGGTTTTAAAGTGTTAAAATGTTTTGTAGCATCTAACCAGAAAATCAAATACTGGTTCTTTCCAGTGAGTAAATTAGCGTCCTTCAGTCTTAGTACTTTCAAAATTTAAGATGAATTGAAAGTACTTGGGAATCTCATTAAACTAGACTCTGATTCAGGAGGTCTGAAGCATACCTGAGATTCCGCATGTCCACCATGTGTACTTCTAGCTTTACCTACTGGACCTGTAAATTGGTTGCTTTTGATGATTTACCAAAACGTCCAGCAGGAAAGATAATATAGTTGATTACAGTGCCCTTTTCCTGTGTTTGAGATTTGATGCTAGGTAACCTAGTATAAAATCAATATCTACCTGTTTGCATTTCTCTTTCATGTATACAGTATAGATACTTAATACAGTGATCAGAAAGGGAACTGAGTTTTAGAGGTAGAATGGTGGTGCCCATAAATAATTCCTAATTTGGGTGAACTTTCCATTTTTTTCCCATGAGATAATATGGTTTTTAAAAAACCATTTATTGCATTGAAAATTATGCTATTTTGATTTTAACTGCTAAAATAAGATTTCAGGATAATAGAAATAACAAAGTTTAATACAGGTAATGTGCTTCCTTTTTCCTTTGTTCCACTGAAAGATATAATCCAGCAATTGACAGGGTTTTTCTTTCATGCAATGTAGAAGGGATGCTTACAGCTGGGTTTGAATAAGCTGTAGCTTAAGATCCAGCAGAGGGAGCTTCAGTTGCTGAAGTTAGAATGTGATTTTGAGCCTCATCATGGTCTGCCCTGCACTCCCTCCCCTTCCTCTTCCTCAACCTCTATCGCCTTTCCTTTTTTCATGGTCCAATAAACCTGTCTCAAGGGTGTATTTCAAATTGATTACAGACAATTTGCTCAGGATTTTGTGATGAACGCAGATGTCAGAACTTGCTCGTCATCTACTGCCATTGCAGACCTCCAGGAGGATGAGGACGGTGTTTATTTCAGCTCATACGGGCATTATGGGATACATGAAGAAATGCTAAAGGTTAGAAAAGAGCACAGATGTGCCAAACCCACGATAAGGAAATACAGATTCTTGTGGAATATTAAATAAGTCTTATTTTCTAGTAGAGTAAAATCTATTCCTTTAATAAAATAAAACAGGTTCTTAATACATATGCCGTGGGAGAACTGGTTTGCCTTTTTTTTTTTTTTCTGTTTTTAAATCTCTTTGGTACTTGACAGTTCATCTTGGGTTGAAAGATTATAGGAACATCCACATGACTAAATTCTCTTTGAGGTCATTATTAATACTTATTGTTTTGGTTTAAATACAACTTTGGAAAAATCAACTGTTACAGATTTTAATCTTAAGCAACTATCAATAGGAACAATTAAATTATGTTGCCTTTTATTATACAAAGAAATTATTAAGTTTAGTATTTAAAATATTGACTTCATTTTGGGCAAATAATAATTCTTTGGTACAAAGTTTAATTATAAATCTCACAATGGTATAACATTTTTATATTTAAAATTATTAGCGTGTAGGTTTCTTAATTTAGTTAAATAAAGTATTTGAATTTGTTTTAATTTTTATAATGGTAATGTCCATATAAAATAGAAGTACCTGACAGTTATACATTTTATTAAGTATTGTGCTATAGAGTATAAACTAGCAATATACAATTTTTTAATGCAATAAACCTGAAAATACCTTACTAGAATATAATACATGTAATATAAAAATTTTTGAAAATTTTGGATATTTATCTCTCTGAATTTTAGATGCCATGACCTTAAACACTGACAAAAAAATGACTTTCTTAAATCCCTCCTCAAAAGATTGTTTTATTTTATGCTCTCCACGGATATTTAAAAATGCCTACACTTTGAATCAGTTTCCCAGGATTAGAGAGTGAAAGTTTGCTGATTAATACTCATTGTTACTATGTGGGGGTTTTTAAAGCAAACGTCATGTCATTACTAATGACATGTCACAGTTGGTTGTGTTTTTGTTGTCACTTGGGTAGTGACACACCATTACAAATAACAGTTATCTTATTATAAGTAATAAATTAATTCAAGTCCAGAGTAAATTTAAAAGAAACTGACTTGTTCTGCTTTCTTTGTTAAAATTAATTCCATTGTGTCTAGAATGTTTTCTTTAGATTAATTCTTTAAAGGAATTAATCTAAGCCATGTTTGTTATTTTAAATCACCCCATCAATTTAAATGCCATGAACCTTTAGTGCTTTTTTTATGGAAATTGTGTTGGATTTTTCAGACAGATAAGATCAGTGAGGACATGAGTGTCCTTGGTACAATCATAAGAGAAATCTGATGTGTGACTACATATTTCCAAATCTGGCCTGGACAGGTGTAGTGCTCTATCTGTAACTAGGAGATCTTCTTATCTGGTCAGAAATCCTGAAGTCCTTGATGAATGTGTAGATGTAAGAAGTTTCACCTTGAAGTTTCCAGTACCATTTTTCCCCTAAGAATAACTTAGGAATCTTTATCTATATATTTTTCCTGTTGTAGTTCCTCATATTTGTTGTCCCAGGTAATTAACTCACCTGGAGATTACTTTGATTAACTATCACAGGAAATATAGATATATTCCATTCAAATAAAAGTTTATTCAGTATGTATTTTGTTATGTGTCAGTTATGGATATGACTGAATCAAGCACTATTTCTTCTATTCCTTGTCAAAACAGTTCTTCAGCATGCTTACTCTTTCAGGTTGTGACACAACCAGGATCTTTAGACTTTTATAAGTAATTTAAAATTGAGAAAGCATCGGTACAGAACTTTTAGTGGATGACGTTTCTGCTATCTTCACATATATTCTTAAATTTTTATCTTTGAAGAAAATTCCATGACATTTTACCAGTCTGGAACTATTATCTTTCTTAGTACTAGACCTCTAATTTTGTTCTGTGTTTTCTTTAATGGATTGATTTGTAAAATCGTTTTAAAATTTCCATTTATTACCATATTTTGTATTTATTTGTTAGTCTTTTTATTAGAATAAATTTTTAGAAAGGTTATGGTCGCAAATCTTTCATTTGCTTATATTTTCACACGGTGAATTTTTCAAAAATTCATTTCTTAGATTGAAGCACTACTATATTCAAGGAACTATGTTTGATATACTTTGGATTTCATTAAACCAGGGTGAGCATTGTATGAAACAGATATTTTTAAATCCCACACATCTATTTTTAAATCCCACAATAGGCATAAAAATGTTTTCTGGGTATTTTAAATTGTATAAATTTTGACATTGTAGCATTTGGTTATAACTTTTTTTTGTCAACTATAAAACCCAAAACTAGAATTCTCATTCTGAGATTATCGTACTCCTTTTACTCACTTGACAGCAAAGCCCCTCACTCTGTTTAATTTGTTGTCAGTTTGTCTCAAATAAGGTAATTTTTTAAAGATTGATTTATTTATGCATACAGTACTGGGGTACAGGCCAGAAGTGTGGGTGTAGTGAGAGGATTCACCAGAGACAGAGTGGGGAGCAGAGCAGGCAGATCAGCGAAGTACACTGCTGAGGGGAGCAGTGCATGGATCAGGAGAGGTCTGCCACACCCGGAGGATCACCTCTGGGACAGGGATTGAACTGGTGCTGAAGTGGCTTTAGCTTCTTAGTGCTGTGCTTTAACCTGCTGCGCCACCAGGGAGGGCCCTCAAATAAGGTAATTTAAGAGAAACAACTCTGTTCATGGGCAACATAAATGCTGTTCGTCAGTGTCTGCCTTAGTTCCAGGTCATGTGATCTTTTAGGATTAAGGTCTCAAATGGGTTACCTTTTCATTTTCTACAGAAAGCTCTAGAAAATAGATAGGATATAAATTTTGTAAGTGTGATCAATGAATCAGTGACTTTCTTGGAAACAGTACTCATGCTCATTTTAGCTTCATTTTTCATATGTATTTATCTATTTTGTGTTTTTTTTTTTTACATGGTTCCACAGGGAGTCAGCTGTAGATTTCATGCCCTAAAGAAGCAAAACCTTATGTTCATCTTTTAGCTTTAGTTATCAGTTGAAAGCTTGTAATGGTATTATATGTCATTATTACTATGCGTGTCAAGACAAAAATGTATACATTGTTAGGAGTATAGATCTTATTTGACATTCAGTGGCATTCTTGATGCAAATGTTTTCTCTGAGTGTTACTTCTATTCTTTGTTTTTTTTAAGGGAAAAAATAAGTTTGATTTTTCCAGGCAAGAGGTAGCTATGGAAACTAGCAATTTACAAAAAAATAACAAGTAGCTCCTTAAACACAGCTCTAATTTGTTCAGACAATGCTGTTGTAAACACAGTGTTTTTCTTTCCCCACCCCAGGACAAAGTCCGAACAGAAAGTTACCGAGATTTTATATATCAAAATCCACATATCTTCAAGGACAAGGTGAGTAGCATAGGCTGCTAAAGTGTACATTCCATGTGATTATGAGCATGAAAATCCTTTATGGGTCATTTTTTGATGACAGTTGATTTACTGTGCTCTGGCTTTATTTCATGATAGACTTATGATACTGCTATGTGGTGCAAAATTCTGATAACAGAGATGCTATTTGGTGCTGTTATTCAATATTATACTCTTCTCTAAATTGAAATTCATTAATTACAATGACATAATTTGGTTACTTTACTTATCCCAGTAATTTTGCTTAAGCCATATTTGTGATTTACTGTGAGTGTTGTGAATTTCAAACATAACAGATGAACCCCATACCAAAACACTTTTAATTATTAGTCTAGTTTTGTCATTGGTTAAAAATCAGTGATTTTAGGCCCTTCCTGGTGTCACAGCGGGTTAAACAGCACAGTCTGCAAGCTAGCTGCAGCAGCTTCAGTTCGAGTTCGACCCCTGTCCAGGAGATGACCCACATGGCAAGGCAGATCTCAAGTTGTCTTGCCCCTCTGCTCCCCTCAGCAGTGTAGACTTTGACAGTACACCTGTTTTGCTCCCCCTTCTGTCTCTGGTGAATTCCTCTCACCACGCCTGTACCTCTGGCCTGTACCCTAGTTCTGTATGAATAAGTAAATCTTTAAAAAAAAAATTAGTGGTTTTCAGAAGTTAATATATAATAGTATTACACTTAAAATCTCTTATGTGCTTTTATGAGACATTTGCTTCTTTATGAGACACTTCACATTTTATAATTAGTCATAATATTGCCTCAGGCTATTTCTGAGATATCTCTTACTGTCTTGTGTATATGTGTTTGAAATCATGTCATTTGTTTCTCTTCACTTGTGAATTTCTTTCAGTTTTTTCTTTATCACTCTCTTTATTGCCCTCCTCTACATTGACAAGGTTGTTTAAAAATTCAGATTTTCTGTTTTCTGTTTATTAGAAATTATTTCACTGATTTGATCAAGAATATTAGCACTTCTGCCTTGCTTTGGGAATTTGCTTGAGAATTACCCCCCACTCTTTCCACTTCAAGAACATGTTTTTTGATAACATACTTGGTTTTAAATACTAAAGGTTTTGGTAATGCCCCTGTCATCTCCACTTTCAAATGATAATTCTCAGTGGTTATTTCATGGAATTTAAATGATTTTGCAGCAGTGACTACATTTAAATTTTGAAAAGTTTCTTGATTTATATATTGCTTGGAATATAACCTAGTTTGACCTTCCATTTTCCATAAGTGCCCCAGGAGCAATCTTTCACTTGTGTCTTAGCTTAGTGGAACAGTTACACAATTTACATGATGCTCTAAGTCTTCTGACCTAAGGTCAAAACCTTGCATGTCATGAAAGCTTTATGATGGTGTATTTTTGCTGATTCCCCCAATAGACAAATAAGAGACTTTCATTCTTAAAATTAGGGGTTTTGTCAGTTCTATGTACTTAGCTTTTATGCTTCTTATATGTTATTGTAGTAGAAACTTAGAATTTTTTAGTTTTTATATCTATACACAAATAAACAACTTATTTAATAAAAAGCTACTTTGTTTTCAGTGAATGGAATTATGTTGTCATTAAAGTTTTTGCTCTGTAGTCTGATTATGCCCAGATTTCCATTTTTCCTTACTATGTAAAATAGAACTTAAACATGCACTTATCTGGGAACCAGATTTTCTACCTGCACTCATATATATACATACACTATGTAAAAAGTAGTAAATCTCTTTTGGGTCCATAGCAAAATGACTTTTTAAGCCCTTCTGGTTCATAATTTATGTCATTTTGTTTTTATAAAACAAAGAAGAATACCATTAGAGTAAATTAAATGTTTCTTTTTGAATACGCTTCTGAATTTACCTGTTTTGTAATAAAAAAATACTGAAAAGACTCCAGTCTTTGTAATCATAGTATTGTTGAGAATTTAAGTGACAATGAATGTTTTTCTGTATTCAGAGTAAATCTCAGTAGGTTCATATGAAAATATATTCACTATACATTTTCAGATAAATTGCTTTACAATGGAAAGCACATTCATAATGTGTAATTATTTTGTGTTCCACTCCTTTTATTGGTAAGATTAAATCTGCCAAACTTTAAAAGGGGCTTATTAAAAAGTTGGGAGTATCCTTTAATAATTGGCTTAAGATGCTTGTTTCTTCATCAAATAATACATTGTAAAAATTTATTTTTCTAAAAGGTGTTGCTAATTAAAAATGTGTTTCTCTTTCCCTCCTCCTTTTCACCTAATTCCTCTGTTCTTGTTTCCTTTCCTTAGGTCCTTTCTCAGTATTATTTCAATTCACAAAGCTCCTGTGGAGACCATATGGTCTTGGATTTAATTTAACTTTGGGTGGCATTTAATTGTGTTATCACCCAGTCATAATTAATTTCTATTTATAGTCCATTGAGGAAATTCCCAGTTAGGTGCCTTCATTATACGTTTGATTATTATCTACAGTTAAAATCGATTCACTTATTCTTTTTAGAAATATGAATCAACTCTTTCATCATTTTACAAAATGTTAATTTAAATCTATCACGTTTTAGTTTATTTGCCTTTTTTTTTTTTTTAGATTTATTTATTTGTGCATACAGAACTGGGGTACAGGCCAGAGACTCAGGGGTGGCGAAAGACTTCACCAGAGACAGAGTGGGGAGCAGAACAGGCAGATCAACGAAGTACACTGCTAAGGGGAGCAGTGGGTGGGTCAGGAGAGGTCTGCCACACCATGTGGTCACCTCCGGGGCAGGTGGGAATCGAACTCATGCGGAAGTGGTTTCAGCTTCTTAGTGCAATGCTTTTAACCCACTGCGCCACCAGGGAGGGCCTATTTGCCTAATTTTATAATTCTGAGCTAGATGTAATAAATAATTTATGTGCATTGAAAATATAATTTGAATACAGGCTTTATAAGCAAATTGACCTATGTTTCAATACTAGTTTTAGAGTTTGCTAGCTGTTGATCCTGAACCTGTTCTTTCCCTCTCTGTAGTTCATGTTTCTCATTTGCAAAATGAGGGTTAAATAAGAATTGCTTTATATATATTAGGCATATGTATGCAAAAAAGTATATATAATATTATATATCCATGTGTGCAGTTTTAGAAAAGAACACATACTCTGATTTGAGTGTGATGCATATCCATTCAACTCTGCTTTTTTCATTCAGTAATTTTTCTCAGTGATATTATACAATATTATACAATTTTTATTTGGTTAATACATTTTACTTGTCATTTAAAAAAAATTTCTTCTTGTTGGCAGTGATATTGTACAGGTTGCATCTTACATACTATGTCCTCATCTTTCCCCATTGGTGACCATCGTAGTTTTTACAGAGTAAAAGTTATTTTTGTTGTGTTTTGCCAGTTTGGCAATAAGGGAATTAAAAACAGAGCATTACCCTATTAAGATGTTCAAGGAAATTACTCATTTCATATTAAAAAATCTTTTTGAATTTAGCATTGTTGAGCCTGATTGCAGTAGGCTGTGCAACTGGCCAACTTAAATTTAAAACAACCCCTAGTAACAGTGTTCTTAAGTAGAAATAACAACATTTGAGTGGTATATTTAAATTTATATTGTGTTCTTTTTTCCCAGTCACAAATAGGAGACCTTGTTAGTAACATCTTTTTTTTCCCCCTAAACTACCAGGTGGTTTTGGATGTTGGTTGTGGAACTGGAATTCTTTCGATGTTTGCTGCTAAAGCAGGTGCAAAGAAGGTTCTTGGAGTTGATCAGTCTGAAATAATTTACCAGGCAATGGATATTATAAGGTAGATGCATTTTAAGGCTTGATTTAATATTATTTGTAAATTTGATGACTATTTAACAGGTCTTCTTATTTTTAATAGCTCTCTAGTGCAGACTCAAGACTTTTGCCTTTTAGTAAAAATTCATTTGAGAATATTAAAATTTTAAATCAGATGAACTAGTCATGTTTGATCTATGAATAATCTTTGTCATTTTCATTGAAGAGTTATTCTTAACTGATTTTCTGATTTTCCAATCATGGCTATAAATATGCTAATAAAACTATAAATTGTTGACATATAAGGTATATTGTTAGTGTATACAAAACTGAATATTTATGTTAGTAATATTTTCTTTAGCAAATGACACTAAAACTGAAGAGAGGAGATATCTGTTCTTTCTCATTTTTTGACATTAGCGCTATTTACAATAGTTAAGTTATTGAAAAAACTCAAGTGTCCAAGGGCAGGTGAAGGAATATATAAGGTGAGGTATGTGTACACGTATACACAATGGAAAACTGCTCTGCAATAATAAAAGATGAACTCTTGCCATTTGCAGTAACATGGATAGAAGAAATAGAGGGGATTATGTTAAGTAAAACAAGTCAGAAAGAGAAAGACACATATCTAATGGTTTCAATTACATATGGAATATAGGTAAATGAAATAAAGTGCCTGTTAAAACCAAACCAGAAACAAATCCTAGAAATCTTTCTATAGAATTAAGGTCTGAGAGGAGTACAGAGAGGGCAGCTAGCAAGTGTGGAGGGGACCAAATGGACCCTGGTGGAGGATTATGAGTATATTGACGATGGGTGTCATGCACTGATAGAGCTGACCTGGTGTATGTCTTTCTATGTGTCTGAATCACCTACAGTACTGTAAACCAGTGTTACCCCAATAAATTTTTTTTAAATCTGAAAAATCTATTTTCCAAAAAAATTCCTATAAAATTTATCAGTTTCCATCTGTAAAACATACTTTAAATTCTAAAAGATGGATATTTGTAAAACATGTATTTCAGTATTCTTTTAAATATATTCAGCTTACAGTTTTTTTATTGTGATCAAAATAATGATAAAATAATTTTACCTCTGTTTTAAGAGATCTAACATACAATTATATGGGGTTAGATATAATGTGGATTTTATATATATATAAAGAGAGAGAGAGAGAGAACACAAGCTAGTTATTGATAGATTGACTTAAAAAGGAGGTCAGGTTTGTGGTTCTGAGGTTACAGACATGAATAAAATAGATATGATTTTTCAGAGATGTTATTATACTAGCAGGGACAACTGCTTCTCGTAAGTGATGAATGAAAGAATGAGAGATTGTTTCTCACTCTTGCTATCATACTTTGAACTCTGCAATGAAAGATCATTTCAAAAACATAGCCAACTGAATAGTAAAGCTATTCAGTTGCCAAACAATTGTATACTGTGTTCACTTTCAGGTAGCAGAGGCAGCTTGTAATATTTTTACCATTTCTCTGACTGCTTTTGGTTTCTATTATCTAAGCCATGGACTAGCTTATTTTTCAGACTTTGGGATGTTATTGCAGAAGAGTTTTCAGAAGAAGATTAATTCATCATGATACCACAATGTAATCTTTCTAAGTATGACTAAAGATGCAATCTTTTCTATTGCCTGTATCTAGAGTAATATTAAATATAAAATGTTAAGAAAAGCGTAGAGAATATTTTGATCACAAAATACATGAGGACAAAATCTTTAAATACAATTAATGTGTCTTTAGATTTTTGTTTGAATTTAAAAGAAATAGCATATGAGATCAAGCAAAAAAATTTTTGAACTGCTGATGAGGCTAAAATGATTTTTTAAACAGCTATTTTGCTGCTCAAATCCTAGAATTCTGTTGCAGGTAATGCAGGTGATCAAGATACTTGACAAAGAAGCTATACTCATGTCTTTCCCCACCCCACTGGCTCCTTAATTTCCTGTCCATTCAGTGTTCCTTGTTTTGGAGGTGGAATCCTGTAGTCAGTAATTCATGGGGATAATTCACATGACTATAAAATTGTATTCACAGGTAAGATTTATTATAGCAAGGCATAGAGTCCAGGAACAACAAGAAAAAAAATACCCATCCTGTTTTTCATGAGATGTGTACAGATATCTGCCACCTGCCTGGAATGGTTTAGCATTTTACTTTGTTAACATTTCTGAATAGACTGAAAATAACTGTCAGTTTTCTCTCTGAGGAGTGGAGAGGAGGACCTTGTCTGGGTCCTGTTGCATTTCATCTAACTCTTGAGGCCAGGGATGTGTGATATGAAGAATGGCTCCTACCTCCACTGTAATCTGAACTGATACTAGGCAGAGTGCAGGTTCTTCACAGGTTCACCAATATGATTGAACTCCTCTTTCCCCCATTACCAGAATTTTTGTGTTTTTTTTGTTTGTTTGTTGTTTATAATCATCTTATGGACTCTCCATGCATTTATCGACTCACTACATTTTGTGTCACTGTTGTCATTTCTGTATGATTGAGAAACAAAGAGAAATATGTGTGCTTGAATCCCTATTGAACGGAAAGCAAAGTAGTAGTATTGCACCTGTACATTTTTATATCAGGTTACTCGTCCCTCCTCACCTCACCCCTCACCGCTTTCCTCCCATATGCTTTTTTTTTTAGTAGCAATTGTTATACATGTCTTCTTGTAAGTGAACTTTATAATCTTTTGTCAATAACTAAGTTCTGCATACTTGATGAGGTGGTCATTGTATACAACTGCCATGGCTCTTTATGCTGTTTGTATATCTATCATCCTACCAGACCACATCTTCATGTAAATCATAATGGGGTGATGTACATGAATTTAGCCTTTGTTTCTCTTTCTGAAAATCCTGAATTAGCTAGCTTTTCATTGTGTTATGATAAAGAATCCTTAACATAACCTCTACCTGCCAACTTTGTTACTACAACTCACATTGTTGCTCTGATCTTACTAAACTACTTATGGTTCTTCATATTGGCTACCTTCTCTCACTCATACACACACACAAGGACTCAGGATCTCCCATTTTGTACCCTGTCTATGCTCTTTAATATTATTTTCCCTTAGGCTATGTTCTTCAGTGCATGGGCTGTGTCATTTATTTCTGTATGCCCAGTGCAAGGTAATTGTGATCATGTCCCTATGTCATAAAGAAAAGTTAAATTTGTAATTTTTTTTTTTTAAATTTTTTTTATTTATTCATACAGAACTGGGGTACAGGCCAGAGATGTGGAGGGTGAGAGGCTTCACCAGAGACAGAGCGGGGAGCAGAACAGGCAGATAGACGAAGTACACTGCTGAGGGGAGCAGCGGGCGGGTCAGGAGAGGTCTGCCGCGCCATGTGGTCACCTCCGGGGCAGGTGGGGATCGAACTCATGCGGAAGTGGCTTTAGCTTCTTAGTGCTGTGCTTTAACCCGCTGCACCACCAGGGAGGGCCTAAATTTGTAATTTTAAGATAGGAAAATATTAGTTGTTCCAATGAAATTTTCTTGGAAAAAAAAAATTTCAGTATTGATTGGATTTTTAAAAAGACTTAAGTTTGTTTTAAATTTTCCTACTAGAATGTCACATAGATTAAAGCTATATTATTTCTTGAACAGGTATTTTTAGAATGGAATTCGTTGGGAATGCTTTCACTATAAAATAAGTTATAATGAGTAGCCACTTGGGAAAAGTAACATTTATTTTTTTCATAAGTGACACATTAGGTAGTGATTAAGATGACCAGTAGCAGGAATGAGGTTATCTGAATGCTATTTTTTAAAATATAGATTTATTGGGAATTGTAACCTTAGTACTTTTTTTCTGGGCATTCCTTCAAATCTTAGTCTTTCCTGTTATATTCATATTTGAGCAAGTAATTACTGATGCAAGTAGGATTATGACTTGTAGCAGACAGTAAACATCCTGAGCAGATGGCCTCTTACAGAGCACATCTTGTTTGGCATAAGCATTCTGAAGATAATTCTAGACAGTAAAGACATTTTGCTTTTATGAAGCTTGTTTTTTGTTTTATTTGAAGTGTTTATAATTGTTAAAACCTTAATAAATATTTCAGTCAACAGTAAGCAACTATAGTAATTTCATTAATACCTCTGAAAAAGTTCAGATGTGATATAAACATCCTTTTGTAACTTTTGTGTGAAATGTAGCGTACATACTAAAAAACTGTAAAATCTAAACGGGATTTTATCACACAAATAAGTGTGCATAAATAACAAGAAATAGAACTTTGCCTGCATTTCAGGAAGCCCTGCCGCTATTTGCCCTTTCTTGGTGCAGTGCTGTTCCCGCCTTATTGGTAAATGCCCTCTTGGCTTTCATTTTATTGCTTTGCATTTTATTTTTAGTATTGCCTTCTTGTTGGCTTCGTTCTAACATTCTGCTTAAAATTGATAAAATTCAGATTTCTTTTAAGGCTCTGACATACTACTTAAAACATCGAGACAGTGATATTGGCGTGCATTCTTAATAAATTCAGATTTCTTTTAAGGCTGAAGTTTAAAATAGTGTTTAGTATATTGCCATATTTAAGAAAAGATTCCTTGGGCATTCATGGAGTGACATACTTCTGAGTTCCTCCAAACAATATGAATAGTTGCCAAGAAGTTACATAATTTGACTGCCTTTCATAATCTGTTTAACATACTAATTTAATTCAATATGATAATTTTCAGACTAAATAAACTTGAAGATACTGTTACATTAATTAAAGGAAAGATTGAAGAAGTTCATCTTCCTGTAGAAAAGGTGGATGTTATTATATCTGAGTGGATGGTAAGTGTTTGCAGAAAAAAATACTTCATTCTTTAAAAACAAAGCAGATTTTTTCTGCATTTAATTTTATATGTTGATTGACTGAATGGTGGCATTTTAAAAATAGCTACAATTTTTTAAATCTTTTTTTATTCTGAAATATAGGGTATTCACTGTCTTTTAAAATAGAGAATAAATTGGCTTTTAACTTTAAAATCATGGTAAATAGTTACTATCTCTTTGCTTTCTAAATATGTAGCAATGTAAATATGTTTTCCTAAAAGTCTTTGAGAATAAGGAAAGACTCACTGATATTATTTCATCAAAACTTACAAGTTGCCACTCTTGCTATCATAATAAATCTATCTTTTTTATCTGCTTGTATCCTTTATCACATAAAATAGTATGCACTGCATTATTAAAATAATGAGATTAAATTCTATGACTTACAATTTGCTGTTAAAATCATGAGCTAATATATTCTGATATTTATTTAAAATTATATAAACAGTAAATTTAATGGTATTTGACTTAACTGATATTCCAATTCAGTGAAGTTAAGGTAAGTTGTATTTTTATATAGACAGATTTTTAATCTCTTGGACAGTTTTAAACTTGTTTTAAAAAATCTATAGTTGATTGTATATATTTTCATTAAATGAATTTATAAAATCTTTTGAGAAAAATCTATATTTTGAAAATAGTCTATAAATTTAAAGTGGTAATGATTCTAGCAAAGAAGCAGAAATTTCAGGAAGCATCTGAAGTGTTTGGATTTAATTTAGTTTGTTTATAGCCAGTGTCTGTCATTGTTAGCGGTCACTTTTTTAAAATGTGTGTATGGGTTTTGTTTTTTTTTTATTGCTTGCGTTACTGGCTATTAGCAGTTCTTAATCACAATATTACTATTCTTTTTATATGAAAGAGCTTTTATTAATCTGATTTTTTTAAAATGAATGGTGTGGAGAAGCTACAAAATTAGTTAATTATAGTTAAATATTCAACATTTCTTTAATGACTATAAAAAAGATATTTTGGAGACAGGACATTTGAGACTAACTTGGTAACAGTTTTTAATAGTTTCTGACTAATTTAGCTGACTTTATCCTTGGTTTTTTAGGGGCTATTTTATCTTTTTTTCCAAATTAGACTTTATAGGCAAAGTAAACAGCACATTATTTAGTAAATTTGTTGTCACTCAATTGAGAATTTTAATAGATTTGATTAAAACTAGTTCAGGCCTCCCTGGTTGCGCAGCGGGTTAAAGCACAGCTCTAAGGAGCTAAAGCCACTTCAGCATGAGTTTGATCCCCACCCGGGAGGAGATCCACATGGTGCGGCAGACCTCTGCTGACCTGCACAATGCTCCCCTCAGCATCATGGAGCTTCCTGTTCTGCTCCCCACTCTGACTCTGGTGAATCCTCTCACCTCATCTGCACCTCTGGCCTATATTCTGTATGCATAAATAAATCTTTGAAAAAAAAAAAACTAGTTTAGTTCTTGCCCTACCTAGCAGAATTATACTTCTGCATATTAATGTTCAAGAAATTTGGTTTCAGAATATGAAAGCTAATATAGAAGTATTAATGTGTAATTGAAATCTTTTAGCATCAGTGTAGTAGCAAGAAATTAAGCTGTGTTGAGTGAATTTCTGAGATGGTCACATTTATGATGTAAACTTCATTGAAACGTGTGCTGGTTTTAAGCTCAGATCCATTTTAAATACCCTTTTTTCCTGCTTTCTCTTCTGTATTGAAGGAGGATTAACTGCAGGCTGCTTTCCTAGACTGGGTGTGGGAAATCCAGTGTGAACTTGGATGAGTTTAAGAAAGGTGAGGCCAGAGCATTTCTTCTCTTCACACTTTGACTCGGGTAGTTTTACTGGCAGAAACTTTTCCATTGTGACTCCTATTCCTATTGATAGGCTGTAATAGTAACACTATCCGCTGGACCACCCTGACCTCAGGATTCTGTAGCAGTACCGTTTTCCCTTGTCTCTCCAGCCTAAGATGGTTGACACTTACTGGTATTACTAACGCCACTTACTGGTATTACTAACACCACTGACTGGTATTACTAACACCAAGGAGTCTCTCTCCTCTCTTGATAATTTCTCATATCATTTGTCCTGTAAGTAACCAACTTCCTGTATTAATTCTCCACTTTTTTCATTGTTTCTGGTTTCTATGTTTTCCCCATTAAGCAACAATTGATTTAAAGGGCACCTTTAGTTTTGGAGGATTGGTCAGGTATGTTCTCTGTAGAACCTGTGATGGATTGAACTAGTTGTTTGACGCTAAGATACTTTCAGAATTCCTTCACTAAAAAAGACATTTCATTGTATCCAAGAAGTGATAACTGAGAACTTGGATTCTTCCTCTACACAAAGGTATAACTTAGAAGTTTTTATTACTGCGTTTCATTGTAAGCATCAGTGGAACTGAAGTCTAGCACATTGTGTTAAATGCTTTAGTTGAACTATTACACACTGCAATTTATGGCAGTTACTCTAAGGCAGTCAACTCTATGGCCTTATGAAATTTGCATTAAGCTTTCAAGTAGAGTTACACTAAAATTTTAAGTCACCTAACTTCAGTACTTATGAGATTTCTGTGCTGAGAAACTAGAAAATTCCAATTTCATACTTAAACAAGAAGTAGGGATGCTTTCTAAACTATATCAAGCATATTTCAACATTCTTACTTTAGTTGAAACATTGGACATTTGGTAAATAACTGGCTTTTAAATCTATTGTTGTTTTTTTGTTTATTTTTAAAATTTATTTGTGCATACAGAACTGGGGTACAGGCCAGAGGCTCAGGGGCAGTTAGAGGCTTCACCAGAGACAGAAAGGGGAACAGAACAGGCAGATAGACAAAGTACACTGCTGAGGGGAGCAGTGGGCAGGTCAGGATAGGGTTGCAGCGCCATGTGGTCACCTCCGGGGCAGGCGTGAATCGAACTCATGCAGAAGTGGCTTTAGATTCTCAGTGCTGTGCTTTAACCCACTGCGCCACCAGGGAGGGCTTAAATCTATTGTTAAGCCACATTTTAGCTTTAAAGCCACAGTGAAACCATGCCATTTCAGCCATCAACATTTTAAAATTAAAATATTGCTTAGGCTTACTTGATTTATTTTTCTTTTATATACAGCGTAATAAGGATACAAAATCTAGAATAACTAATTTTTAATCTATATAGCTATGTTTTTTTTCTTTTTAAAAGTATTTTCAACAAGGAAAGACTAAAAAAGAATATACCCAAAGGAATTGGACACAGATGTTTAATAAACTTGCAATCCAGTATAGCATTGTAGGCATTGTATTTTGCAGACATGAGCATCTGTTTTCTTCTACTCTGGTCCACTAACTGTTCCATTGCTTAATTTAGATATACAGAGCTGGGGTACAAGCCAAAGGTGCAGGGGTGGTGAGAGGATTCACCAGAGACAGAGTGGGGAGCAGAACAGGCCAACTGACAAAGTACACTGCTGAGGGGAGCAGTGGGTGGGTCAGGAGAGATCTGCTGCGCCATGTGGTCACCTCCAGGCTGGAGATATAACTCTTGTTGAAGTGGCTTTAGCTTCTTAGTGCTGTGCTTTAACCTGCTGCACCCCAGGGAGGGCCACACAATAATACTTTTAAATTACAAATTTTAAAATAAAAAATAACAGTTACATAAATTGTAAAAATTGTTCTTTTGATGAGATTTAGTGTTTGAATGTCTTATTCCGCAATGATGTTTTCTTTAGCATATTTTGGGCAGATTTAGTTTCCCCTTTAAAGGAAGTTATTGATGATTTGTAAGAGCAAAATATTTGTTGCACATTTGTTTACTAAATTTCTTTTAGTGTTTACCTTCACTGTCTTGCGAACTCCTAGTTCTGCAGAACTTGTTTCAAGCCTCATCTTCATGCAACTTTCCTTTTTTATCCCTTGAATGTAAATGTGAAGCCTCTCTTTGTAAAGTAGGGAGGATCCTTTGCACTTTAGTTTTTTTCCATTACTGCTTTTACAGTGTTTTATAATTAATTGTTACTGTAACTTTTTCAGTTCTTCTGACAGTGGCAACCAGGACTTACTTAGTATGGACATAGTCCATCACAGATTATTCAGTAAAAGTTGCAAATGAAATATACTTGAAGGAAAGAATGCTAATACATGGGGAGAACATTCTTAGCATATGAGTCTTTTATAAAAGCCGAAGACCCTCGGTTCCCATTCATTAATTGATTCTGCCTAAAATTAGTACTAAAGTATATAAAAACCAACTGATGGATTGTTTTGAGTTGTAAATTTTTAAATAGTTTTCTTAATATTGATTGAATTAAAACGTACTGTATTTTTAGCAAAATAAGTGGTACTGAGCATGCCTAGTTCAGATAAATTAATCATATGTTATAGTAATAGTTTGAGTATTATAAATATAAACAGGTAGATACAATATTTGAATAGTGAGTGGAAGGTTGTGGTTTTTAAGAGTATTATTTTTTAAAGATTTACTTATTTATTCATATAGAACTGGGGTACAGGCCAGAGATGCCGAGGGTGAGAGGATTCACCAGAGACCGAGTGGGGAGCAGAACAGGCAGATCGACAAAGTACACTGCTGAGGGGAGCAGCGGGCGGGTCAGGAGAGGTCTGCCTTGCCATGTGGATCTCCTCCCAGGCAGGCGGGGATCGAACTCATGTGGAAGTGGCTTAAGCTTCTTACTGCAGTGCTTTAACCCGTTGTGCCACCAGGGAGGGCCCTAAGAGTATTTTTTAATAGATGTGTTGGCATCTTAATTAAGAATAAAGTAACAGCAAAAAGAATACAGATAAAAGAATAGGCCACTTATATATGATTACATTTTTTGTGACATTTTGTGTTTGTTTTCATCTGTCCTCTTAATCACCACCTACAATCTCTCCTAATTTTAATCTTAACACTTTTTAAAATTAGATTTCAGATCACATTCTGCAAACTTTTTATTTATTACTTTAGTAAGGAGAATGTTTAGAATAGTAAGATTTTGGTG